ACAGAGGGTAGGACTCTTAAGGAAAATTAGAGCAGGTTATTACCGCCAAGTGCCGGGAGTTAAAAAGAAATAAACCCAAAAAGCAGTTGATTATTTTTTCAAGTCCATTAAATATCGGGATTTTGAAAAATTATGGCACTATATTGGAAAAATGTCAATAAACGCATGAAATGAGAAAAAAAAACAGTTTTCAATATTCGAATTTTGAAGAAATAGTACATGACCTTGATCTCTTCAAAAAATCTAAAAATTAAATCCTCTCCCAAAAAGTTGTTCGAGACCTTTATACTTGTGCTGTTCTATAGCAGTTTGCTTTGAACTGGGCCTAAATAAAATCTGAAGTCATACCGATTCAAATAATCGCATGCACAGATTTTAAGATTTTTCCTGAACCTAAGATTTTTTTCCTGATTTTTTGCCAACCGTACACTAGGAAAAAGGTCAATGAACGAAAGTTTCAAAGCTGCTCTTTGAATTTCCCGAGTCTTAAATGATTGTCTCTTTTCAAAAAAAAACTAAACCAAATGAAACTGGATTAATTAGATATTTTTCTGCTGGAAATTCTGAAATCCATATTAAAACTAATGGTTGACCATGTTTCCCATAACTTCCATTAAGATAACTTAAAACGAAATGAATTTTTTTAGTTAACAAGCCAGAGGCCTAACCAAAAGGTTAATTTTTTACGGTTAACCAAGCTATGGCAAACCACCAAAACATAAAAATGAGGGTGAATAACACTTAAATTGATTTTTATACTAAAGAACAGAGCCAACCAATAGACTGTTGGAAATTGGAGAGTCAATGAACGCGAAAAAAATTACTTGTTTTTTAAAAAAAACTTCCAAATTTCAAAGAAGTATATGGCTTTCAGGCTCTTTGAAAATCAGGAATAATTTATGATTAAAATTTTTTCGATAAAACTAACCCAAAATTAGAAAACTGGATCAATACGTAAATTATTTATTCCGCTGGCAAATCGGAAAATTAAAATCCTTTTTCGAAACTAGAAGTCAATCTTGTTTTTTGTGACGTTACTTTTGCTGTTCGATAGTGGGGGTTACCTTGCTTTTTACAAAGGAAATGAACTGAACTCAAACGGCAAAAAGCGTTCAACGACCCTTAAATCTCCATTTTCAAGCTCGAAGTAGAGGTCTACTTGGACCTTCCAGTTACCCTTCAAGCTCGCCCCTCGGTCGAACAAGCTCACCGAGACTGTTATTAAAAAACAACCTATATAAGTGTCTTCACTACGTTTATTGACACTTGATAAAACAGCAGAAACAACTAATTACTCACTTCGCTTGGCGACAATCTCTGTTACGATTGCAACTTCAGCCAGCTTCTGTTGTAGAGTCACTTCAATGCCTGAACAATTTTTAAAAAGAAGATATCACAAGATAAAGTTGAGGTGCATCCACTCGGAAATTTAAAAAAAAACAGATACACATCTTAAAGACTTGAAGTATATCAAAAAATCCTCTCAAACTATCTAGAGCAGCCCAAAAGCGTAAGAGCAGCTGTTCATCAGAATTTATCAAAATAGAATTTTTATTTTAAACACGGCACAATCCAATAAAAATTTTCTCCGCAAAAGTTGTTTAACGATGAAAGCTGTCATAAATTATGCAACTTTTTACTACTTTGGAGTAAAACGTCATAAATTACTCAACTGTTTAAGATAATGGAATAGAACTCAAAAAATATTTTTCCAAATTAGCTGAACTTTCTGATTTTTCCGTTGTCATTTAGGTTGTCAGGAACCAGGCAGAACCTACCATCAACTAAGTGGAACACTGTTTCCTTTTCGTTCACGAACACGACCAGTCCTCTCACTAACAAGTCTTCTGTCTGCAGCTCCACTAGCTTGCCTTTCCACTTTCTGGTCGCCTTGTTTTCTGGTTCCGTTACCTGGTTTCCATTACCCCTCACTCTCGCTCCTTTACTTCGTAGGCTTTTGTTTGAGCCGTTAGTACTTGATATCATCTATAGAACATCAAGCAACGCATAGGAAGCAATACTTGATCTGAAACCAATCTCAGGGTAGAGTAGAAAGCAAACGAAAACGGCAAGAAGTAGCTCTTAAGGGTCAAAAAGTGAAAAAAGGAAAGAATTGAAAGAAAAAAGGGAAAATTAATAAAAATTCTGCTGTGCCGGAACTGAACCACCGAAATCGAGATTAAGAGTCACACGTCATAGCTTCACTTATGTTAAAAGAAAACTCAATAGTTGAACAATAGGTGCACTGCAATTTTTTTATCCAGTTATTCATTCACTTCAGCTCAAAATTATACTTCCCAATGAAACTTCCGCAGTTCTCATATTAACTACGCTACTTCGAGTCTAAAAAATTAATTCAGACTATTTGTTCGCTATTGCAACTCCAAATTTCAAATTGAGTACAACCATATGCCACAAAAAACTCGTTCAAAACATTTAAATCAAACTTACAGGCCCACGTTTAACTTAGAGAAAAATGGATTGAATGGATGGATATGCTGGTTGTAGGGGTGGCTGGATGAACGAATGGATGGAGTACGGGCAGAATAGATGGGTCGATAGCTGGATGGACGCACGGATGGCTATCTAGATTAATGAATATACAGCTGGTTCGATGAATGGCTTGAGTGATGGCTGGATCGAAGGATGACTGGCTGGTACTCATACGTATTGGCATATGTTTTAGTGGAGTTTTAGCCCTCAGAAGTATTTAGGCCATTTCCGCAACTGCGGAGAAAACACTGACATCACTTTCAAAAAAGTCAATTTCATAATTAGATATATTTTTGAAAAATAATCATTTTTAAAATTTTGAGAAAACAAAAACGCAATATCTTGAAAACTAGAAGGTGTTGAGCACCCATATTTAAAATTCCAAACTAAGTGAAGTATTTTCAAATCTAATTTTTGAAAAAAAAAACATTTAACACGGCTATAATGTTTCGCGCAGTCATATTTGGAGGCAAGACTTGAAACCCCTAAGCAAAACAAAAACAAAGAAAACAAACAAAGTCAGGACTATAATTTTACCTTGCTCGTCAAAAAATCGTACAGCAAAACGATTGGCTTCATGACACTCGCAAATGTGGCCAGATAATTCATCGAAAAAGACATTGGCAAAGCATGATCGAAAATTTGATGGGGATCTGCGCGTGCACTTCGCACTGTGAAAAAAATCAGAACTTGAGATCATATTAGGCAGTGTTGAAAACCATTTAAAAAAACTTAATACCATTTGGCAAGTAATATCATGGCGGTTGGTGGCTGAGATGTAGTATATGGAGAGCTATCGCTACTTTACAAACGGATTCATCTGTTTCATAGCTTACATTTGTACTTTTAAAATATGAAAAGTAAAAACGGTTGGAAAATTTTGCTTTTCAGGCTAATAAAGACTCAAGAGTCAATCTTCATTATTGTTTATTAAAACTGTAAGCGCTATTTTTAAAAATTACTTGCCAAGCAAACCATTGCTAATTTGTTCTTCCTTCCATGCGCTAAAAAACAGATGGAGAAGTGTTTAAAAAAAAACACTTTTTTTGAAAAAATCTCAACTTTTGAATTTCCAAGAAACAAATAAATGTCCTGAAAGCTCTTTAAATTTCAACAAGGAGGCGAAGCGTAGATTCGTTACACTTGCGATGCAAAAAAAACATCGCTTTACAACATAGTGAATGAAAAAAAAATCAGAAATCATAAAAAAAATTCTGAAAAATTATGTTGGAAAAAATTACCTGAAAAAGAAGCTTGACAAAAGTTGAAAAGTTACAGCACAAAAACGTCATATTTGTATCGGATGAAATTCACAAACAGCTCTTAGTAAGTGCAAATCATTTACCGAGCGCCAACAAAGGCAAAAATCTTTGGGTCGAAACCTGTTGAGCCGAACACAAAGTTGTTGTCACAAAAAAACTCATAAAATTTTAAAGTTTTTACGACCCATCCGAACTGACACACATAATCCCAAAGGAATATAATTTCCTCTCGAAATTAATTCAATACAACATCAACTGAAACTGTTAGAATATCAAAAACAAACGAACAAAAAAAATTTTAAAAAAAATAACCCGAAGTCGGATATGGTAAACTTACAAATTTGTGAAGTACCAGTTATAGTAAGACTTGTTCAATATGGAAAAAAACCCATGCTTTAAAAAGCAACCCAATAAAACCCTAGCATATAAAAAATGGCGTTTACAAAAACGGAAAATGAACCGACTGAAACTAGGACGAAGACCACGAAACCGCAAAAATTTGAGACATTTTTTGAAAAGATACTTACTACTTGAAACAGGTTTGAACTAATTGCTACTTAAGTATATCCTAGAGGAAGATCCTACTTCAGTATCTTCCTCTAGAAGTGAAGATCCTCTAGAATTGCAGATCTTGTGGACAAAATTGTTTACGGGAAAAAGTCTAGTACCCGATGCAATACTCTTGCTTATCGCAAGGGTATTTAAAATTTAAGATTGACACTTTTTTGATAAAATTAACCCAATTAAAAAGAGGTAAAATTCTCATTTCGTTAAAGAAACCTGATAATTAAAATCCATTTTCGAAATTATAAATTGACAACATTTTTCGCGACCTTTACATTTTGGCTGTTCGATAGTGGATTTTGCCTTCCTTCTAACAATGGAAAGGAACTGAACTTGAAAAAAACCAAAGTCAAACCGCAAAAAAGTTAATTTGAGCCTGAACTAAATCCAAGACTACTGAAAGAAAACGAAGTAAAAAACCATCGCGACCTATATAAGTGTCTGATCCACGTTCATCGACTCTTCAAACACTTGTTTTCAAAATTTGTTTTCCTTTGTGTAATGAGCTTTGAAAGATTATTATAGCCAACGAGCCATAATTAAAGTTTACAAGCCCACTTTTTCTCCCTTTTCCCTGAACGCACCTAAAAAACACGAATTTGAAAAGAAATGAAATCGTTTTTTTTTTTCAAATATTTTCTTCAAGAATTACTGCGGTTGGAATTTTCTGTACTACTTGAACAGTAACCGATTTCACTTGTTTTGTTATGCAACCAGAAATTTTATCCTCGCAAACCGCAGAAAATCGAGTGACAAAACTATTAATTTACCATAATTGAATCAAGCATGATCAAAGGGCGTGTAGACGAATTGAGCAATTACAAATCCAGATTCGTCAATGTTACATCTTGGTTGGATGAGAAGAATTTTCTCTCGTTATTTATACTCTTTTGAAACTTATCCTACGCCATATAGCTCGGCTCTAAATATTAGGTCGGATTTGTTCATCAACAAAGGTCAGCAACTCTAACTCGATTTCTCTCCGCGTTGTTTAATTCACATTTCAACCTCGCTTTTCGTTCATCGTTCTAATCTCTGAAAGTTCACTAAACCTGTCGAGATGTCAAATAACTCAACTCTGCTATTCATTTTTGCGAATGAGGATTGGGTGGTTTCGATTGGATGGTGGCAATTCAATTTTTCAGAAGTGAAACTGATCGCGTACATTAAACGGGTTGCTCATTATATCAATTAATCGCCAGGCCACAAAAGAACGCCATCTTGCAAGATCTGAAAGTTGTTGAATTTTCATTCTATTTCAGACATATTGGGCATTTGTCAATCATAATCGCACATTTAGGATGAAACACATGGTTGCAAGATGCTCTTGTAGACAGTATCTTGCAAATAGGCTCCCCACATACGCCGCACATGCACTGCTGCTTCCCACGGTGTCCTTCATTCCCTACAGAACTGCTGAGCACGCCAGATGAACTGTGGTCTTTGTTGTCACTGCTACGTGAGCCGTGAGGGGATCCGGCTGATCGATGAGCGTGCTTCAGGTGTGCGCTCACATGGCTCGCCGAGATTTCACCTCCCACCCCGGGTCCGATTCCCTGAGATACTGAGGATGCTGTTGGATCCGAGAAGAGAGACGAAAGTAACTTGTGTCGCGTCATGTTCGGACATGAGCTTCCAGAAGCAGTTGTGAAAATAGTCTGATGAAGGTTCTTTGTAGACGTTGCTCCTCCTCCCCCAGCTGAGCAGAACACCAATGGAATGCTAGAGTGATGTACAGTAGCGTGATGACTTCCAGTTCCAGTAGACTCGTGAGAAAACCCAGGAGGAACTAATAGCCCAGGCGGAAGTCTGTGTTTGTTCTGACACATGATGTTATGTGGTTGCGTTGAGCCAGGGGCAAGAACTGATGGCTTTTCAGGCCTAAACAACCTAGTTAAGCGGGAGTTATACGTCGACGCCAAAGGTTATCAGGGCAACAATTAGATTCACACTATTCATGTATTCACTGAGACTTATACTTCAGCATAGATGATACAAAGCTGATTTAACTTATCCGGGAGAAACGAATAAAGCTTTTAACCAGTAACGCAAATTGGGTTGACCTAAGTTAAAAAACGATGAGACAAAGCTTGCTTAAAATTTGCGCAGAATTATTTATGTGCAGTTTATTATGTGAACCTCGGCTGGTTCAAATGTTCTCCCCAAAAAGAGATGATTTTAGGTTTTAGTGAATGAAAAATTAGGTCAACACTGGGTAAAACTATATTATATGAAAGTGAGCCTATTATGTCGCCCAATAAAATCTAGGAAAATAATAACCTTCTTAATTTTGTATAACAAATTTATTTTTGTTTTATAGCCAAAAAAGAAAGACAGCACAAAAGTAAAACATAGCCGACAGACTATTGGAAGACAGTCAATAAACGCAAAGAAACGAAAATTGATGTTTTTTTGAACAAAAAAACTTTGAAATCACAAAGATATATAGGCTTAACCCGATCAACCTAATTTGAGAAAACTGGATTATTAGGGAAAGCTTCTATTCCGCTGAGAAGTCAAAATCCTAAATTCAACTTTTGAAACTAAAAATTGATCACGTTTCAGCTTTCGAGATTGGCTTCAGATGTGCATTTACAAGTATGAATGCACTTTTTTCTAATTAGAAAATCTGAAAAATTTTCCTTAAAAAAAACGAAAAAAGAAATCATCACGACCTATATAAGAGTCTGAACTACGCTCATCACAAGGATAACCACTTGCTCATGAAAAGGCATAAAACTACGTTTTTCTTCATCTTCAATTAGCGTAATTTTTTGTGCGTGGTGTAATGAGAAAACGACAAGTGAAACTCAAAAAATTGAAAAAACGTGAGTCAAAAACAATTTTTCCGCAATTTTTTCTTAATTTTTAAACAACTTTCTTTATTGCCAGAAGCGCAAAATGAAGTTTACGAAAAGTTTTCCTTTTAGGAATTCATATTCATCTTCATGTTACTTGATCGCTTTACTCGTTGAATTTAAACCAAAACTCAAAAATTTCCAATCGGTTTTTCTCGACACCAGGAACATTTTTCAAAAGTTGTTCGAATTACGACTGAAAAGGTTTTAATATGATATTTCAGTCATCCCATTCCTATGATTTTTATGGTACCTGATTTCGCGAGGAAAACACTAAAATACATTCGAATGCAAAGTTACGATACAACTAGTACAGAGTTTAAACAGCATGACGCTCAAGAGGACTTCGAATGATGTAAGCCTTGAAAATAGAACTATAAAAATAAATAAAACATAGCCAACAGAGAGTTAGAAAAGTGTGAATGAACACAAATAAACAGGAAAATACCGACTTGTTTTTTGCAAAACATTTCGATTTTCCGATGAAAAAAAATAGCCTTAAAGCTCTGGATTTCTAAAACAGCTTACGATTGACTCTTTTGATAGACTGACCCCATTTCATTAAACTGGATCAATTAATATATTTTATTTCGCTGGGAAATCTGAAAACTAAATTCCCTTTCCGAAACTAGAAACCAAACACATTTTTGCTGTTCGATAGTGGAGTTCAAATGATATGAACTGAACTTAAAAAGTCAAACCACGAAAAAGTCAAACCACGAAAATGTACATATGAGCCTGAACAAAATTTGAGATTTTCCTGAAAAAAAAAATGAGAAAAATCGTCGTAATCTATATAAAATTCTGAGCTACGTGCATTGACTCTTGATAAATTTGAGCGCTGGAAGTTTTTTTTCTTAAAAGCAAAAAAAACACGCGAACTTAAGTTGCTTCACTTATCTTATTAACATTTATTCAAATATTAATCGACAGAAATCTACTGGCCGAAAACCTGAAAAAAAGTTTTCATAGCTTCAAAGACCTTGCAGCAAAATGAAAAAGGTGAAACGGTACCGCTTAGTTCTACGGTACCGCGAGTGTCGGTTGGCTATAGTTTACTTTAACCCAGGCTGCTCAAATCGGTCAGAGAAAAAAGTGACCTACCATTTTTAGTCTCTACCAAACCACTAGAAAGACCCTAATTTAACCAAATTTACTGCGCCGCAGGCAAATTTTGGAAAAATGTCAAAAAGGCGTTTTTAGGCATTTTTTGAAAATTTCGACCAAAAAATCACGTTTTTTCATCGCGCGCTCCCCCTCAAAATTAGTATAGATTGGCGCCCAAGGCCAAAAATCAGCCAAAAGTGGATATCTCAAAATACTACAAAGGGGGAGGGACCCTTTGGATCGGCAGGGTCGTCCCATGATCTTATCTGGAAAAACTCTCGTCAACAAGTTTGAACAAAAAGTGACTAGAAAAAATAAGTGACCAAAAAGTGACCAGTTCACTTAAAGTGACCAGTTTGGGCAGCCTGCTTTAACCATAGTTATGTGATTCGCATCATTCCCCAGAGAAATTCCCCTTTTTAACCTCCTTGTTTACAGGATAAAAGGCCTTCAACCCGATTCGTTAGCACTTCATCGTTAATAATGATTAAAGTAAACTATAGCCAACCGACATTCGTAAAATATAAATTGACTAAATGAGACCAAAAAAATGAGAATTTTTTAAATGCCATATTTCAGACAAACAATAATTAAGGCTCGTTGAAGTTCACGAATCTTTTCTGATGGACAATTTTTTCAAAGAACTAACCCAATTATAGAAAACTTGACCAATAAACATTTTTTTCATTCCGCGGGAGTTCGGAAATCATAGCCAACATAGAGTCGTAGAAGTGTCAAGAAAACTGGGTCCATTCTTAATTTTTGTTTCTGCTGGGAAATCTGAAAATTATAGCCCATTTTTGAAACTAGAAGTCATTCGCGTAATTTTGCGCCATTTAAATTTTGTCAGTGGAGAGCGTAATTTGCGTTCCGATTAGCAACTTAAAATGAATTGAACTTAAAAAATAAATTATAGTCAAACCGCAAATCTAACTCGAATGTGAACAACTTAAAAAAGAAAATGTGATTCACGCCTTTTCATTTCTGGTCATTGAGAAGCTTAATTAATCCCTTCAAACCGTTAAAAACATAATCTGAGATATGAAAACGAAAAAAACGATACGGCCTAAATTAGTATTTTCAGTTCATTAAGATCACTAAGAACTAAAAATTCAAAAATTGAAGAAAAAAAAATCGTTAAAAAGATTCAAATCGAACTTTCAAACTAAAAGGGAGACCTTTATTTTAACCTGCTAAAGTCTCACCTGTTCCAAACATTGGCGCACACATTCGGCAACGCAGAATTCGAACTATCCTCTTTGGATCCCGGTTGATTCTTCGATTGGCTCTGAGCTGTAAATATAGTCGACAAATGCTCCAAGAACTCGCCTAGACATATATAGGGATCCCTTCCTTTCTCAGTTGTCACCGAAATATTTGGGAGCACTGGAAGTTCCAGCAACTGCGTATTATTTTCCTGAAGAGCTCGTAACTGATTTGTGTAGAACTTCAACGTTTCTCTTGATAATGATGTCAACTCGGTTGCCAATTTGGTCCACTGATTCTGGCTTTCCTCGAACTGTTTCACAAACTCAGCCATACATGCTGGTCTCTTCTCCATGATGATGGCGAATGTCTTCACTGCCGCATCTGCCTGCACCTGTTCACAGGCGATGGACTTGAGTGCGTAGTTTTGCCTGCCCAAAACGATTCCAATTTCCAGGTCACACAGTCGCTTCTTATACACCTTTTCTTGCTCTAAATGATGTCTTTATAAAATATATTTTAAAAGATACATTTTAGAGTTACAATTTGAATTAATTTATACAGTAAGAAAAATTCAAAACAATTGTATTCTAAAAAAGCCACATATTGTAAGCATAATTTTGCGCATATGCTTAGGTCCGCTTCTGAGACAAAAATACAATGGTTTTCAAAAACGTCAATTCGAAACAACGTAACAACATCAAAGTGAAAATCATATTTAAGGAAAATACTTTGCTAAGTTTAGGAAAAATTTACGAATTAGGCTTGCGCTTACCTTGATACTCGTAGCAGAGGAAGTCCCTCTCCAGGACTGCAATCTCCCTCGACTGCAGAGCACGCCTGACTTTGTTCAGGTTCTCTTCACACTGTTTATGACACACAATACCAGCCCCTCCTCCTCCCATTCCTGCCCCTGTCCCACAACAAGAGCCACCACCACCCTCGCCTCCTCCTACCCCATGTTGCTCCTTGATGCCTCTGAGCTCCTTGGATAAAGTAGATGTTTTCATCTTGAGGCCTTCTATTTCTGCCAGACTGCGGAGAAACTCATCCTTGTAGGACCTAGAAAGATGAAGAATTAATTTGATGATTTGTATCGACAATTTTCGAAAATAAATAAGGAAACACCATTTGGCTCTTTGCCATTCCCCTTCAACTAAGAAAAATTTTTATTTTCTTAGGTGAGTTACGAGGTTTGATGGCTGAAAAAGCGATGTTAAGATAAAAGGTACGAAGTTCGCCATGAAGAACAAAAATAGTTAGTTTGTTCACCATGCAAATTTTGATTCAATAATGACAATGTAAAAAAGTTTTTCAAATTTGGGATTCAAATGACTGGGTGGTCGTGCAAAAGAGCCCATCATTTGCATGGTGAACAAACTAACTTTTGTGAACACATTTGTTCGTCGTACCTTTTATCTTAACATCACTTATTTGACCACAATAGCTCGTAACATAACAAAGAAAATGGAAAATTTGGGGAGAAGGTGGAGAAGAGCCAAATGATGTTTTCCTATTTATTTTCGAAAATTTTGGATACAAATTATCAAACTAATTATTCAAATTTCTTGCTTGCCGAAAGGGTAAACACATGACTAAGACAATTTTTAAAAAATAGCTTTCATGAGATCTCCAATTAATATTTGGAAAGCAATCGCTCTTATAGGATGTGGCAGACCTGTGGACTAGTTACCAAAACATTTATTTATAACCTAGAGAAGTACAATTAAAATACGCCAATTCTTCCCATTATTATCACCTGGTGAACTCTGTCTGCACGCTCTTGTCTAATTTCTGCATAAACGAACCACCCAGAAGATTCACCTGACTTCCACTTAGTGCGCGGGAGTGACCCCCTAGCCCACCAGTCATGTGACTTCCTGGCCCACCGGCGCCCAGGAAAGGACTGAATGTGAATTGATGTCCAGAGTTGGCTCTGCATTAAGCAAACAAGCGATTTACAGAAGAGAAGTTTCACATCAAGCGTCTGAGGGAATGAGAACAATTCAAGATCAAACCCTATTAGGTTTTGAAAAAAGCTAAGTTGCACTCAGCAAACAAATCACTCAAAATCTCGGCTCTGTTTCCCTTTCCCCACCTGCAATTTTTTACTAGTAAAGTGAGTTAGGACCGAGTTGGTTAACTCATAGAGTAATTTCGGATAGGGTACACCGTCTGCTCGTCACGCTATCTTATTTTCGGCCGGATAGATTCGTGCAACTTCTTAGTCTAATACCGATCCTAATCTTACTCTTATACTATCTAGTCTCAGGTTGTTTAACTAGTCTCTGCTAGGCTCAATAGATCTAGGGTATACTGGTTTATTGCGGCTGCTGAAGTGCTCGGGAGAGTCCAACTAATTTCTAAGTTAAATTCAAATCTCTCTGGTGCTGAAATTACAAGTAACTTCAGCACTTACAAATAAGTGGGTTGTTAGTTAGATGGATCATGATTGGTTAATATTAAATACTTTACATTGGTAAAATATCTAAATTATCCAATCATAAAATGTAGTTTAGATCAGGTTCCACCCATCCGGGTTTTACAGAATTTTTTAGAATAGTTCTTCTGCAATTCGAAGGATGGATGATGGACGTTGGTGTTTGGCGAACATCATATTTCTTTTGTTTCCTCTTTGTTAAAGAAATTCCAGGAAGCTGGAGTTAGAGACATAAGACGTTGTGTCTTCTAGTGACAACGACTAAGTCTTTGCAACAAACTCAAATCTGATTTCAGAATGGTTTGCTATGTCAGGTTTTTCTGTTCTGCGTGGAGATTGTGCGTGGAGGGGATGCCTGGTTACTCGGATCTGTACGTATACTTGAACATCGAGGTGGTCATTGGTCTAGTTCAATGAAGTCCTTTTCTGCGAAGTCAAGTCGTACTCTAAATCCTTTGAGTTGTGATTGTGAGTGGCATATCGATTGTGGTTGGTCATTCTCTCTCGAGTGTAGTGGGGTCGTTTTGTCTTTAGATGTTCGTCCTTGGTGTTGTATTCTGATCTATGTATTGCATAATGTAATTTACATTTTATAAAACATTTATTAGTTTAATATTTTTTAATTATGATTTTAGTTAGTTGTTTTCACAAAAGCTTTTTGTTTTAGTTCGGTTATTTTGAAGAGTTACTCACACTTGAGTAGCTCTTATTAAAAATAGAGGTGTGGTCACAAAGCGTGGATGTAGCGCGGTGGGTTAGGCCGGCTATAGAGCATGCTCAGGACGTCCTTCCTGGTGGGTTAGGCCAGGAGTGGGAGTATGATTTCATGCGGTTTTTGTGAGGGGTCCTGTTATGTGACAACGTTTTATGTTGGGTTTGTTGTGGTTTTTCTTATGTCTTGTTGGTTATGTCCTTTTTCCAAAAAGCAAATTGTTCGTGGTATGGGTTTGTCTTTCGACTTTTTTGTGTTTTATTATTTCTTTCTTAGACTTTATAATAGTCTTCAAAAGAATAAATTATCCAGTTTTAAACTGGGTTAATCCGGTTTGGGTACCGTTGGTTTCCTTTTCTTAGTCATGCTGTTATTCTATGATTTGTGGTATTTAACAAGCTGCGTTGGTTAGTTTTGTTTAGTATATGATTCCTTTCCAACCGGGTTAAAGGAAGGTTTGAAACATGTTATTATATGTTAGAGTTGTTGAGTGTGAAAACTTGAAACTGAAATTCATTATTTTAAACAATTCTTCGTGGGCGAGCTGTGCGAGTGTGGATAGAATTTCTGTGCGAATGAATGAGAATATCAAAAGGTTAGTACTGCATTTGCATTTTATTAATTTACTGCATAGAATTTGGAAATTTACTGCTAGTTATGGGGGAATTTTAAGTTACAAATTTTCATCATAATTAGATTTACTGCTTGTGGGGAAAATTTTAGAAATGAATTTACTGCATTGGTATTAAATTTATAAATTTATAAGTGTAAGAGATTAATAGAATTTTTGAAATCTGTTTGATGAAATTTGCGATTTTTATTTGTCTTTTGTGGTTTTTGTAGGTGATTGTCGGATGAAGGCTAAAAATCTAAAGAAAACATGGATAAAGTATGGTGAGTTTTTTAATATTTTAATTAGTTAGTAATATTCATTTAATTCATACTTACCTGTTAGTCGTCGGGGAAAAAACCGTGGGGGAAGATGTCGTGGATGAGATCGGAAGTTGTTAGTAGTTTAGCTAAGATGCGGATGATATTTTTAGTCTGAAGCAGTGGCCAAAGCAATTGAAGTGCCTTGATAGTGGTTATTTCTTCAGTGCCAACTGCAAACTCATAAGGTGTGTTTTGGATTAGATTATATAATTTGTGATTGAATTTAGTGTTGAGGATGAATTCTAAAATTGGGATTTCTATAGGTTGTACAAACTCGTGCGGGATAAGGAAGGGTCGGGATTCTTCGGCGTTGAAGGTCTTGGTGATGGGACAGAAGATGTACATTTGGGTTATGGGATCATAATTGCGAAGAATACCATGAAGGTTAGTATCTTTAATGCAATATGTGAAATTTAGGAAAAATGGTGAAGTGTATTTGGAATTAATGAATTGAAAACGATGGTGTGGTTGTCTAGAGGGTGTGTGTAGATCAAAGTGATTTTGGATGAAGCGATAGTAACTATATGTGTGGGTTTGTTTAGTGCGCAACATAATATCGTGTGAGCAGTGTAAATCTCTTTCGTGTGGTGCAAGGAAATGAAAGGTTAGTGAAAATATTTGGAAGCGTTCTTTAAAACTTTCGTATGCTTGTGTGTCTGTTAGTGCTTCTGAAATAATGTGATCAAACTTTCGGTCGAAGATGTTTAGTGTAAATATATATGGTGTCTTGATGAAAAATTTCTCGGTAATTTGTGGATTAGCGAAGCGATCGTCGTCTAAAAATTGATCTTGGTTAGCTCTGATGATGTTGTGATCATAGTATTCGAGTGTATATTCGTTAGCTCTAGGTGCAGTGTGTGTTTTTAGTGATTTTTTATATCCAACGTAAGTAAATTGTCTAGCGGTTAGTGGTGTAGTGAGTCGATATAGCATGTCCGTATTTCGCTCTATATCAATGTGAGTGTTAGATAAAGGTAAGCAAAGAGGGTTAGTAAAATGATAATATGAGGTCCAAGAGAGAGTGGGCATTAAAACGTATTCATCTACAAAGTTGCGTGTTTCGTTAGTGTCGTGGGGGGTGTTTAAGGTGTATTGTGGGAATGAGGGTAAGGTGATGGCTAAAAATTCTTTTGTGTTAGTATGCTTGGGGTGGTTGATGTATTCACGGGCTGTTCCTGGTTTTGCTGGGAAAGGATGGTTGGGGAACTTTCTTTTAAAAGTGCGGTAAGCTCTATTAGTGTTGAGTGAAGATTCAGTTGATGTGGATGATGGTGCTAATGATTCAGTATAATTTGAAGAGGGTGTAGGGGTAGGGGGGTTGGATGAATTTATTGTGGAGGAGATTTGGTTTATGGTTGGGGTATTAAGGTGGTAGGGTTGTTGTTGAAGGGTAATAAAATTATCTAGCTCTGGGGAGATTCGGGGGGTGTCTGGAGAATGAGATGATTGGTCAGAATGGTATGAGGAGTAGGTTGGGGTAACTTGGGAAGCATAAGAGGGTGTGGGAGTGATTGGGTCAGGGTTATTGGATAATATGGGTTGAAAAGGGGGTTGAGAAAATTTAGAAGAGTTATGAAAATTATTGGATGGGGATGGTTCTGAGTCGGCAAATTCATCGGGGGTTTCAATATTCGGGTTATTGAGTTGTGAGATGGAATATAAAACTGAGATGTGTGAATTAGTGTCGGAATTCATGCCTGATGTTACATTACTAGATGGAAAATCGGGTGGCGGAAAAGCAAAAAGTGGTATTATTGGGATTGGAGAGGTAAGATTGGTTGGGTGGGAATTTGATCGGTGTAGTGATCCAAGTTGGCGGCTCATCGTGGGCTAAAAAAATGATTATTTTGAGACTGAAAAGCGGTGGTATGGGGTTGTTCAATAATTTGTTCATAAGTATTATGGTCTTGTGACTGGTGTGTCATTATATGTTGGATGGGACTTTGTGATGTGGTGAGTTGAAAATTTGGATTATGTGTGATGGCTAAATTTCGAAAATTTCGTGGGGCTAGGGATAGTGGATGGTTATTTGGTAGGGGTGGTAATTGTGGTGCCGTTGGCGTTATGTCTACATTGTTATGTTCTTCGTCGTATGTATTTTGTCGTGTTGCTATTTTTGTGTTATATTCTTTTATTTGTGCGTCTAAAAGAATTTTGTTTATAGATGTAGAAAAGATTCCAAAAAATCCTGCAAAGAGTATGCGTGCTACGCTTGCTTGTCTGTTTACTTGTGTGTGTATAGCACACGTGTTGTAGATTCCTTTTAAAAGTGAGAAAAGAAATCCAATAAAGTTAAACATTGCGTATAAAATAGTCAATTTTTCTAAGATGTAGTAGGGCCATCCTAGAAAATCGAGGGTCTCATTTTTGAGTGTAACAAAGCTAAAAATGTTAATTGGTGATATATCTTGGGGACGGTATTTTTCACCGTTTAGATATATATAATCTTTAATGTCTTTAAAATATCCGCTATAGTCTTGCGTGTAGATATCGGCAAATCCTGCGGTTTCCGCAAGTTTGCGTAAATTTTGGTCTATTGATTGTCTTTGTATAGTGTCCATTTGTGTTAATAATTCTTGGAATTGTTGTGTTCTAATGTGATGTTGAATATCTGATTTTGAATAGATTCCTATTGATTGTAAGTCTATATTTGGGTTTCGAGCAATAGCGCGAATGCTTTCTGGTGAAAATTTTTTGAGTGATTGCATTAATGTGGGATATGGAGTGAGAAGATAATATTTATTTTCATCAGGGTTTAGTTGTACTACATTGTGGCTGTTTTCTGATCCACATGGGACTGCGGTATCCCAGAAATAGGTTCTTCGTGAAAGTGTATCCACGAAATGTACTT